CCCCAAAACCCCAAAACCCCAAAACCCCTGAATGATGGTTGCTTTGAATAATAATATATGTGAATATTATAGATTTAACAGATAAATTTTAAAATGATAACTCTAACTATGATGAGGCAACTCAGTAAGGGCTACATCGCAAGCAGGAGTAATACTTATAATCTTTCTCCAGCTGGGGAACATATCCCCTAAATGGATAAGAGTCCCAAGCGAATCATTGATAAAATAGAGTATGCCAAGTACACCTAGCAGGCAAAGAAAAATTCATCCAATAAGAAGATAATACAGTATAAAAGCTAGAATACCTTACAAAATTCATAATCGACAAAAACTATAAACTCTTCTAGACATGGAAATAGAGATGTAAGTCCAATGCCCAATGAGCAAAGTCGAACAAGGCAGTTTGTGTCACCTCAGAATAAGGGGCTTTTTAACATAGAACCCATATTGATTAACAAAACAAGGATGAACTAAAATTTATCAAGGGAGAACTCGAATAATACGAATAATCATTAGTAGTAGTAGAATAGTCAGCTATATTCTAATTCGATATAGCATCATCACCAATAATAAGTGAATTCCAACAAGTAATCTAAATCTAAATCACCTCTCAAAAACTAATACTACAAGAGCTCTGCATATAATGGCTCCTAATCTACAAGAAATCATGATAAGATAAGACAGCATATTTAGCAGTAGAATCATTACTATGAAACAGCAATTAACATAAATTTGCCTTTACAAACAAGAAAAAATACAAAAACTGCTAAATCAGGTTCTGGTGCTCGGGGATTATCAACTGAAAGATCCTCTGTTGAAAGAAACTAAGATGGGTAAATCTTGAATCAAAATTGTGATGCTTAGATGTAACAATCAAAGACCCCTAAGCATCTACATTCGAGTAAGTTATCTCAAACTCTTCTTAACACAAATAATATGAATATGGCATTATCAAATTTAACAACTGGACTGTAAAGTCCTGTAAACATCAATATAAACAACAATAACAGTAATAGCGGGAGTAAACCACCACTTTACTTATCTGACTCAAAGTAATATCTAGAGGGTAGGCAGTAAATAAAGATAGTTAGCAAGAAAAGCTCTACATCCCGAACACGCACAGCAGCAGGGAGTACTAGAGATCATTCCCCTCTTAATTAGATAAGCAATAATTCTATTAAAATGAATAAGTAAAATTGCAATAATATCCCAATTAGCAGTAGAAACAATAACATTCAACTTCTTGCTTAAAATCTTTCACAAAGAAAGATGAAATCTAAAATACAGTTACTAAATAATCCAAGCAAGAAACAAGAGCAAACTGAAAATATCAAGATCAAAGTACAAGTAAGTTAATATTTTATAATTATTTAATATTCCGTATAGAAATAAAAAACTCATTTGGAATCAGCGAGAAACTACAGTAATTAGGATTAAAAGTAAGTTTATCATCAGATTATAACTATTCTTTAGCAAAGAGCCAAAATTTTAAGGATCAGTTGCTAGTAACTTTGAGACTGGTTCAAAGAAGAAAAAAGGGGGAAAGTAAAAATAATAATAGAATCAAGTTAGTAAAGATGTTTTTGGGTATGTGGTTCAAGGAAAAATCGATAGCAATAACAGAGTCGCAAAATAAAATTAGATCCTTACTAAGTCAATTAATGTGAATGGTGGTCATAAAAATCTTGTGAAAAGATATAAGAGTCCAAAATAAGAGATGCCAAAGATAAATACATAGAACTACGAATCATTATTTTAAAAAGTCACTAGATTGACTTAAGAATAGAGCACTCTTCTTAACTCTAACCTCACAACAAACAGTCACAGTCAATATAATGCCTAAATTCAATCAAACTTAAACATTAAATCTTTGATGAAGCAACCACTGCATTAGAATAATCATATCAAATAGCATTCTAATTAAGATAATCAGAGGGAACTGACTTTTGAATCAACTAGTTCAACAAAGGGTCTAACTCCATACTTCTCGCTCAGAGAAGCTCAAATTTTTTAATCCTCCCCTAAGCTAAGTGATAAATAAAAATGCTACAAAAATGACTAAAATCACTGTAGAAATAACATTCAAATCAGATCAACAAAGGAAATCACCCATAAAAGATCAAATACTGAGATGTTTTAGTACAATACCAAGGAGCTCGCCAATACTCAAGAGATAACAATAAATGAGGAAGATAAATTTGTGTATTCTTCTTATGACGTCAGACATACCACAGGCCATACAATGTTCTCAAACTAGGACTTTTACAGGCAAATAGATCATTTCAGTAAGGGAAGTAAAGACTAGCTACAGGAGAGTCAGCAATGTATATCATAGCTAGAAATCCCTTTAAATGAAATTTCTAGTATAAATAACTCATAGCTGTCAAATCAAATAGTAAGAAATCTTTAGATGTAAAGCATGATGACTCAATTCATAGAGAATTAGTAAAATATGTTGTAGAATCAAATAGTGAATATAGAAACACATGAAAAGTTGAAGACAAGCTACCAATCAAATTAAGAATTGAATAATAGACAGTAAACGGTGCAAGAATAATCAGAGTGTTCCTCAAGAGAGTAATCACATCACTAATAATCCAATGAGTAAATTCAAACTGAGACTCGTAATAGTAACATCTAGCAATAACTGCAGCAGTGCGCAATTGTCAGTATCCATGATAATGTTAAAAATTATGATTATGAGTATCCAGCTATGCATTAAGTAGATGATTCAATCATGAATCAAGACTACTAAAACCACTCTTAAGAAATTTACGATGATATTATCCTAATCACACAGTCCTTGGTCTCAACCTAAGATAGATAAGACTCTAAAGAAGATCAAGTGTAGCTAATATAAATAGAGGATAACAATAATGTAATTTTCGAATCAAATGACAGCAATAAGCAAATAAGCAACAACATTGTCAACAACTTTTATGATATAAATAGCCCGACAGCTTAAATCAAGGAGAAGAAAAATATGGATATGCCACTGCAGATGACTTCGGCTAAGAAACCTTGTTTAATAAATAAGGATAACAATATCACTACGACTAAGTCATCAGTAAAGAAGCGAGTCACCATAAATCTTGATTAGAATCAGTTGACTGAATTCGATAGGCCATCCTCTTGCTCTCAATCTCAATGTTCAGATAGCATGTCTTAGGATCAAATGAAGATTACTTCGATCAATCATTTGCATCAAGACTCAGACAGTTTTAACAATCAGTCTTACACACCAGAACTTTCCGCATAGCTCAGATAAATGGATATTGAGATAAACAGCATGAATCTCTTTGAGATTTAAAGATGTTCAGATACTAGTGAAAATCAAAGTGGATTGATATTTGAGAGAGTCTAGGAACTCCATCATAGCGTTGACAATCCTGGTAATGGGAATATAGAAAACATCATTAAATGCAAACTTGAATATAAATCATAACTTAACGTCCCCTCCTTAGTTGAAAACAATAGTAAAATAGTAAATTTCCAGCACGTTGACGTCACCAGAGAAAGCCAGTAGTCACCCTATGAATTCACTGAGGATAACTCTGAAGAAAACATTATGCCGATTTCTGAGATACCCAAAATGCAAGAGCCTAACGAATACGACCTCGAGATAATTCAGTCTAGGATGCTGAGTGATCCTTCAAGATTTAGAAATCTAATCCCAATCAGCACCAACATCAATGAGATTATCTAAATCAGTTAGAAATACTAGTACACTCCTAAAGAATCCAATATCGATGACAAGTCTTACAAATCAAAGCTATAAAAAGATGACTAGTCCAATCAGTACCTCCCCTTGAGCACCAGAATCGAAAACTTTACCAACAAGTTCTTTGAAGAGTAGTCAAAGATAAATCCCTCTTCAACTAGAGGCAATGGTATTGCTGGTGCTTAGTCTACAAGCTTAAATAATATATTGTCAAGTAATCATCTGCTTAACGCTCATTAACAGCTGAAAACCGAATAGAAAAGTTGCCTTGATTTCACAAGAGATCTTCTAAAGCAGTATAGAACCAAAAACATTATTTAATGAAACAATGAATGAAGTATATACTTATAAATATTGAATCGTAATAACTTTTAATAATCTATGGCTTGTGGGGTTTTGGGGTTTTGGGGTTTTGGGG